AAACCTGTAGCTCACCCCTGGTGTTTCTTGAAATCTAGAAGAATCATCTACATATCATTTTTATCCTCCACATAACAGAGATGAAGGTATTGACAGCAAAAAGCGTCGTGACATATGCATCAATAAGCACAAGAAAATGGTGGATTCCTATTAAACCTTTTTTTTATTATTTCTTATTCTTTTTTATACTTTAAAAAAAAGTTTGAAATAATTTCTCTCTCTGATTCTTTTTTCCTATGCCTTCAAGTTAAACTTTGGGATGCAATTATTATTGTTGCTGTTGCTATAATTTCTTTTGTCGATATAAAATTTTTATCCAGAAGTTTAATCAATTTAAATTAATTGTGCCACAAAAAGGAGATATAAAGAGGTCCAAAAACACTATAATAAACAAACATCTGGCCTACTGGCCAAACAGAAATATGGCTGTCAAAGGGAATACAGGGTTAGAATATAAACTTCTGCAAAATCTTATGAACAAGGATGATGGATGATTATGAGCAGTATAGTCTCATAAAGCACAGAGAAGCAGTGGAGAGTAAAACCAGTTTAAAAAAGATTGGCAAGATATCCGACTAAGTAAAGTCACCCCAAGGGTATTCAAAAAAGAAAGTGAAAGGACTGCAAACAGGAGAAAGTTGCAAAAGACATAAAAATCATTTTAACCAGCTGATTTCTCCCTCGAGGAAAATGGTACCACCATATTCAGTCCCAATACCAGACTCCTGAGGTAGAGGAGGAGGAGATAGAAATGGCATCAAAGAGAACAAAAATGGGCACATCCGTGGTAGGGGAGATACAATTGTGAGGGTGTTGAGGGGACAATATACAACATATCTGAAAGATGGAAAGACACCGGAGGTATGGAAAATTTTACTTCATACTTCATTAAAACTGAAAAAAAGCAATCAAGGAAATATTAAGACCTGTCATCCTATATGCCTACTCTCCTACCTAGACAAAATCTTTGTGATAGATATTTGTACAAGAAGTGGGGGCATCCTCAATGAGGATATTAGCAGGAAACACCTAGGCTTTCACAAGTGGTCTTCAACAGTGGACCACACCCTTTGCATCTCACAGTTAATTGAAAGATTACCATAATATTAGATCCCATTGGGCTTATTGTTTGTATTGATTTAGCTAGGGAAAAAAAACACCTCTGTGAAGGCACTTTTACAAGGTATCTCCAATCCGTGTATCAAGATCATTCAGGATTCCTGGGAAAATGTAACACGAGAACATAACACTATTTAGTGACGTCCTGATAATAATGTCAGGCAAGTCCTAAAACAGGGAGATGCATGCTCACCAAAAATATTTGCCACTATCATGGAGGAGATTCGGTGCAAAATCCAAGTCACAGGGGGATTTCCAGTGTAGAGTGAGGCCCTACCAGATGCTCCTGTTGGTGGTTGACATTGGGTTGAATATCTAAAACCTAAGGTATTGCAGAGTCTCCTGGAAGAGATGTATACTCCTCCAAAGAGTTCAACTGATCTATACGAACAGGAAAAGCCAAGTTTATTGAGACTGTCTATTGCCCAGATTAAACGTGGGATAGACACGCTAAAGGGCTTGTCTCACAGTAGATCTATCAGGAACAAACGGGACAGATGGCCCTGAATTGAAAAAGAAGAGGGTGACTGGATTGTTTTTGGGAAAATGTAAAATTCCTTTACCAATCCTAAGCATCCCATGAAAGCTCATCTTTTCAATGTTAACAATATAAGGGGAATAGTATAATACAATGTCCCTGTGTTTTAGGTGCTTACAATTTAAATAGACTAATAGATTAATAGAATGCAAAGAGCATTGGATTTGGAGGTGTAGACTCATGCAGAATCTCATAGTTGTAAGAAACCCCAGAGATCATCCAATGTGTGCAGTAATTGAATGAAAATCTTTTCTCCAACATTTGTGACAAATGACCATCCAGCTATTGTGAGCTTCTTGAGAGTGGGGACTATCTTATGCTTTCATTTGTATTCCTAGTGCAAAACATTAGCGAAAAGGCTGCAGAAACTTATGAAAAGTTATGACCAGATTGAAGTTATATCAGGAATGCTGGGTTGGTACAATATTAGAAAAACTGTAAACATAATAGGCCATAATAAGAAGAATAACAAAAATCATGATCATCTCAGTAAGTTCAGAAAAAAACACTAAAAAGTATAGAAATAAATGAATCTTTTCTTAGTATGATAAATAGTATCTATCTAAAACCACAAGCCAATATTATATGTAATAGAAATAACCTAGAGGTCTTTCCAGTAAAAGCTAGGATAAAGCAAGGTTGTCTATTATTACTACTTTTTGATACAAATGCTAGTTATATCAATAAGAAAAGAAAGCAAAATTAAAGGAATAAACATAGGCAAAGAGAAAACAAAATATATCCTTTTTTGCAGATGATGACAGTTTATTTATAGAACCCCATAGAGCCAACTAAAATTAATTGAATCAATTGTTCATTTCAGCAAAGTTAACCCATATATATCATCAGGATTTCTGCATATTACCAACAAAATCCAGTGGGAAGTATTGGAGAAATCCCATTTATAATTCATACACACACACACACACACACACACACACACACACACACAGATGTATACATCTATATGTGTGTGTGTGTATATACACATATAAGTTGTTGAGTCATTTCAGTCATACTTTATTCTCTGTGAGCCCATTTAGGGTTTTCTTGGCAGAGATACTGGAGTGGTTTGCCATTTCCTTCTCCAGCTCATTTTATAGATGAGGAAACTGAGGTAAACAGAGGTTAAGTGACTTGCCCAGGGTCACACAGATAGGAAGTGTCTGACGCCAGACTTGAATACTTGTCTTCCTGACTCCAGGCTCAGCGCTCTATCCACTCTGCCCACCTTGCTGCCCTTGGAATTGATCACCTCTGAGAGGCCTACCAACTCTAAATATTTGATTCACTGATTCTGTGACTTTGGGAAGTCAGTGAAACTCTGGGCTTCTATTTCACCTATAAGGTCCCTTCCCCTCCAGATCTCTGGTCTTTCAATTATAGGTTTCTATGAACTTTTGCCAGGCTCAGTTCATTTATAAAATGGTGACAAGTATATCAGCCCTACCAACTTCAAAGTGCTGTGAGAATCAAAGGATATGAAAATGCTTTAAGGTTTGTAATGCGCTGGTTAGACCAATGCACTTACCCTTCAACCAAGGGGAGAATTTGAAAAGATCTATACCAGCTGTGAAAGGGGTTGAGGGAGAGTTCCTTTCCCTTTCCCTCACAGCAAGATTTCCAGTAACCTTCCTTCTGCATGTGAAGTACTTTGCACCCAGAGATCAGGAGCAGGCCAGATGCCTAGGAAGCACCAGTATTGGTTGCCAGGTGCTTTTTTTTTTTATAGAAATAGAAGGGTGACTGGCTCACCCTGCTGTTGTCAGAACTGCTACATCTCACTACTAACATAAAAAAAATGCCAGCAAAACTTTCCTAGGTAGAGGAGGCTTTCCTAGGTTTCATTTCCCTTCTTATCACTCTCAGCCTACTCATCTCATATGTAGTCCTTGGATATGTGTCCCCAAAATCAGAAGTATAGGCAAAGTCTATCTGCTCAGCAATGTCTGTTATCCAATAGACACTGGTGAAGAGGAGGCGTTGTGCTCTAATTTTAAAAAAAATCAATTTCAGATTCAATTTGATTTTTTCCCCTTCTTGGAGGAAGGGGCAGAAGAAGAAGTTCCAACTATTGGAGCGTGGCTAGGCCAAAAGCTTTTTCAAAAGGAAGGATATAAGAGTAATGATGGCTATTCATCATTAGGTTGGCTATAGGGTGATGAATTTTTTATTCACAGCAAATCTCAAAGACCTCCTACCAAAAATGTCAGAGGGGTTGCAATTGGTATCTATATACATCAATGGTATCTAAGAATCCCTGTGGGCTTCATATTGATTTAGAAAGCCCATTATATAAACACATGTTTGTATTTATTTTTAAACTAATACACCAATACATTCAAATCAGGTAGATTTTTATCTGGAATTGGCTGTACTTGAGGGGCTTGTGGGCCACATGTTTGACTCTTCTCTTATATGTTATACTTTTTTCTTTTATCTCCCTAATATGCTGTAAGATCTATAAGGTCAGAGACCATGTCTAATCTAGACTTCTTGTTACCCCTAGTATACAAACCCAGGGCTTTAACGTAGGAGTTGTTTAATGTTTGTGACCCTTAGTAATTTGTTCCATGGTTCTAGGTCTTAGTTTCCTTATTTATAAAATGAAGAATTGTACTAGATTATTTCTAAAATCCATTGTCTGTATGATCAACAACTTGTATCCATCTTTTCAAAATTGAGCTTAATGTGGTTATGGGTGGTGTCAATTGTGGTGATGACTTTTCGGTTAAAAAAAAAAGATTAGGAGTCTGGTGAGACCAATAAGAGCATTGGTTTATGAAGTTTTAGAGCAATCTTCTGTTCAATTGTGTTTTAAATAAAAATACAATGCACATCTATGATGCTAAGGTACTGATTCTATTAACCTCACATTCATTCTAAATTATCTCCTTCAGTTCCTTCACTGTCTTCTGTTATGTGATACCTTCAGCTATCTGTTAAGAAGTTGATTAAAAGTTCAAATATCTCACCTCCATGCTATGGAGCAAAATATTTTCCAATACTTTATCTCATCCTTAAGGAACACCAGATTTTAAATTCCCTCATACTACCCTGAGAAAAGTAAAACATATTGAGTGATTTGTTTTTTCCCCTGAGTAATAAAGGATTAAAATTATATATAATATATAATTATAATGTATACATAATTATAATATATATATATATTAGACACGTCATCTTGTTGGAATAAATGTTTTCTAAAAATCTTATCCTTTTTCATGTGTTTTTTCTTTACCCTGATGTAAAAAATTATATGAAATACTAACCATCCTGTAACCCCCAAACCCCACTTAATTATTGAACACATTAGCAATTTTTTTTTCTCTTTTTCTTTCAGCTCTCAGGAGAAGTGATTTTACAAATTGCCAATGATCCAGTTCTGCCCTTTAATGCTCTGGATATAGCATTAGAAGTTCAAAACAGCCTTAAAGGTAATTTATGAGAATTATAGTAATTTGAGCAAATGTAAAAAAAAAAAAAGTTCATCTAATTTTCAACAGCGAATAGTAATATGCTGATGAATGTTGTATAGCAGCCTTCTACCCTTTTCAGCAATGCAAGAAGTCTCTCCCTACTTCTAGAAGGTGACCAAGGTAAGGCATAGAAAAATTTTAGCTGTCATATTGATAAGACAGAGGAACTGTTGAGATATGAGGAGAAACTTGGAATTTGACAGATATTTTGACTACTCTTTTCATATTGTGCTTCTATCAAAGGGATATATCATTTAAAAGTTTGTATACTTGTTCTTTGATTTATATATTAATCCATAGCTACTCAAGATGACTATCCTACCCTTCAGTGTCCCTGACTGCCACCATCATGACCACCATGGAGTCATCTTCATAAAGCTAGAGATTCATTTATATTTTGCAGGAGAGAGAGTTATCTAAGATGGGTAAGTGTTCTGTGGCAGCCCCATTCCCCTTCTGTAGCTATGAGATTGTCAGATGAATTATGGATCAAAGAATAAAGAAATTAAATTAAAAATACTGAATTTGGAGACAGAAGAATTAGGTTTACATTTCTTCTCTGCCACACAGTACCTGTGTGATACTGGGCAAGTCATTCAATCTCTCTGTACCTCAGTTTCTTCATCTGAAAAATGAGGGGTTGCATTAGATGACCTTTGAGGCCTCTTCACGCATTCTACTCAGTGTTGATCATCCTGTGAGTTCCTACCAATGTGTCCTTAGATAAGTCTTAATTTTATTTCTGGGCCTCAGTTTCTTCATCTGTAAAGTGAAGAGGTTAGATCTGGCGGTCACCATGGTCCCTTCTGGCTCTCGAGCTGTGATCTATGAGCCTGTCACCCTTCTACTATGCCGGGTGGTTTCTACACAATTCTACCATTACAATTTTGTCATAGGAAAAATACTTTCACCTACAGAAATAATGCATATGATTTCCAACGGCACATATAGTAAGGGAAGGGTCATTTTGTCACCTCCCTGTTTTCCAGCAGAGGATATTTTAGTGAGAACATAGTATTATGCAGCAGTCATGCACTTACTCAAACCCAAATAGCTATTTTATTTTGAATATAGGCAATAATTCCAGATGATTTCATTAGCCAAGCAGTATGCATGCACAGTGTTAAATTAAACATAATATTTAGCTGCTTAATATAAGCATAAATTGTTTATATTTCTTTTGATTTTATTATGACAGTTGAGCAATAATTAGTCTTAAGTTCTTGGCTACGGTCAAAGATAAACAGTCTTTGTGACTGATCCATAAAATGTTGTTTCTCCTGCACTGCGACCAGGGTAAGGATGAGAGTCTCTGAAACTCAATTGCATTTTCAGCCATGTAATTTTCACCATTTGACAACTGGCCATTTCATTTATTGATTGCATTAGTTTACATTGGCAGCAGATCATTTCAGTTCTCCTCCATCTTCACAACCACGAAGAAGAAGGATAATTTAGCACAGAAAAATTTGTTTCGGTTGATTTATTGGTTATTGCTAGAGAGCTGAATTTGGTGGAATGACCTTGTTTTGAGTGTGAGCCAGAACTAAACATTATTTAAGGAATGAATATGTATGTGCTCATTTGCTGATCTATGTGTTTGTATGGACATGTAAATGGGCATATATTTTCATAAGCAGCATAAGATTAAAATAAGTGACAGACAAGGTCTATCTATATTTTATAAACATTGTTTCCTAGTAATTCTGTTGTTTAGTCATTTCAGTAATGTCCGTCTCTTTGTGATCCCATTTGGAGTTTTCTTGGCAAGATACTGGAGTGGTTTGTCATTTCCTTCTCTAGCTCATTGTGCAAGTGAAGAAACTGAGGCAAACAAGGTTAAGTGACTTGTCCAGGGTCATAGAGCTATTAAGTGTCTGAGGCTAGATTTGAAGTCAGCTCTTCCTGACTCCAGCAGTGCTCTAACCATTGTGCCTCTTCCTAGTAATAGGAAACCCAATAAGAGAAAGTATGACATAGTAGAAAGAGTACTGTACTTAGGTTTCGCAGGTCTGGGCACAGTCCCTCATTCTACTCCCTTAGTACTCATGAGACCTTCGACAAATCACTGAAACTCCCTTAGCCTTGGTGTCCTCATTTATAAAATGAGGGGATTGAACTATCTGATTTCTGACATCTCTTCCAGCCCTATGATCATATGATCTATGAGGGTTCTTCTAGCTGTGCATACTGTAATGTCTATGGAATGCCCATAGAACCATTGTTACGGAGCTGAGAAGGATCCCGGAAGGTCACAATCCAGCTCGTTCATTGCACCGGAGAGGCTACTGAGGCCCAAGTGCGTTACCTAAAGTCATGTAGGTAGTTATTGTCAGTGCCAGGATTTGGTCCTCTGATACCTTATATCGAATAGAGAGGATGAGGTTGTAATAAAAACTTTACATTCTCCTAATGATTTACTATTACAAAGTACTTTATATACATTATATTATTGAAACCCAACAACAACCCCAGGAAATAGAATAGTATGAGGATTATTATTCCCATTTTCCTGATGAGGAAATTGAATGTCAGAGAGATTACGGGACTTGATAAGGTCACTTAGTTAATAAATTATGGATAGAGGACAATGCACTGACCATTTTGCTACTAAAAGAGTACAGTGTTTCCTTTTGCTCGGGCAGCTCCATCCCCTCTTTAACATAGAAAATAGCAATTTTATATAATTTATGGTCACATAAATTTGATGCTTTTATTTAATATCAACCATTTGTCTTTGTCAGCAGAGAAGTTAGTTAACAACGTTCTTCAAACAGCAAGTGCCCAAGAAAAATAAAAGTCGTTTAGTCTCTGATCTGACTATATACACATTTATTTAGCTCAATCCAGACACAGCAGGAAATCATCATTTTGCAATGTGTGGCTTGCTGCCCCCTCCGTAGCTCCTCACAAAATGGAAAACGGTTCTTGGCAGCTCTTTCTTGTGTTCTCTGAATAACAGACAATGTTGATTTAATCTACCTTTTTTCCCCATTAGCTCTGATAATTCATTAGCATCAATCACTTAATTTTAGAGAAATGAAAATTACTTTGAAGGTGATAATCCCATGCCCAGTTGGGTTTACAGTTTCATATTTTGAAGCCTGTCTCTATTCTAAAGTCACAGCACATTCCAATCTCCCCAGTTCTGGTTTTGTTTCCTTTCTCATTTCCATAAATTTCTCTTCCTTTCATCACAAAATGAGATTATACATACCTGGGAATCAGGAGGCCCTGTGCCAAAAGCGATGAGTTGCCACTTAACAAAGTTTGGTTCAATTGAATTGAAATTTTACTTGCTAGGACTATAAGGAATTGTCAGTCACTACCTCCCCAACCTCCACCATTAAATAACTGTGACTTTTAATCATCCCTAGCCCACTTCCTCAGATGTTCTGTTGTTGTTCAGTCATTTTATGTGACCCCATTCATGGCAAAAATACTGGTGTGGTTGCCATTTCCTTTTCCAGCTCATTTCACAGATGAAGAAACTGAAGTAGACAGGGTTAAGTGACTTGCCCAGGGTCACACAGCTAGTATCTGAGTCTGGCTTTGAACTCAGGTCTTCCTGACTCCAGGCTCAGTGCTCTATCTACTTCACCACCTAGTTATTCTTAGATATTTTAGGGTTAGGCAGAATCTGGACTGGTTCAATATTCTTGCTGTCTTCTTCAGCTTATGAATGGAGTTTCTTGAAAGCTAGACTCTTTGACGGAAGGATAAATTAGTCCTGTATCACAGAGAAGTCCTAGAATTTCTGATTTACTTCAGATGTTTCTTAGAAAATTGGAGGTGAAACTATGCCCCTCCTCCCACAATATTTTCAGTCAGTGTTAGGGTCCTGAGGGTTTGGGGACTGAATTGAGACTTTTTAGTATTTGGCTATGTGGTCCAGGGAACCAGGTTTAATGTCTGGGGACATGTATTCAATTTTTATGCTCCTACTGACATCCTCTGTCACATTTGCCAAGTCATTTCACCTAATCTGGACTCTACTTTGCTTATGTACAAAAAAAAAAAAAGGTTTTGATTGCATAATCGTTGAGATCCTTCTTGGGTCTAAATCTCTGATCCCATGATCCATGATACCCTCAACTAGAAATTTTACTAGGTTGAGTGAGGAATTCACTGGAGGAGATAGATTTTCTCTGTGCCAAATTCTACAGGATACCTTGCTAGGAGTTTGGTGTATGATATTGTCAGCAACATTTCTTAATCATTTACTTGTTCCCAATACTAATTATGTTCTTGGGCAGGAATTCCAAATCTTTATTATATGTGACTGCTATGACATGTCCATTGTTTCATTATTCCTCCACTGTTTTTGTTGCTGTGGTGGTGATAGTAGTTTGTTAAAATAGGAATCCTTTTTATTTCTAGACTTTGATACTTTTTTTTTATACTGATATATCTGTTATCTTCAGTGGATATTTCCTCCATGAGCAGAGCTCAACTCCTCCGTGATTTCTCTTCATGTATGATTTTCATTCATGTCCTTTTGAAAGTCCTGCTTCTATTCTGGAGGTCTTTGTTCTGTCACAAAGTTACCAGTGTAGCACTCGGGTTGGCTATGTACTGCCTCAGTCTCAATACAAACCCAGAGCACTTCCTGGTTTGGCCACATGTGCCCCTAGATGATGCTTTTCCATCATTTTCCATGCACAAGTCATTGGTAACAAGCTACTATCTACTTAAACCCACCATATGTCACTCCATTGCTCTAATTTTGATTCTATTGTAATCACAGTTTTCTGTGACTTGAAGCCATGCAACATTATCTTCTATGAGAAGCCTTCCCCAATCTCTCTGAATTCTCGTACTTTTCTTCTATTAATTATTTCCTATTTGTCCCATATGTACCTTGTTTACATGTTGTCTCCTCCATTAGATTGTAAACTCCTCAAAGATAGGGATTATATTTTACCTTTGTATCCGAAGTGCTTAGGACGGTGCCTGGC